AAACCACTTTTCACCTGTGGAAATCATCACTATCAGCTACTACTCATCACACATAAGCAAGGGGATCACTTACTTCAACTGTTGGTATGCCCATATAATGATCAATCACTTGTGAAATCCCATTCAGGACCACTCACATTCCTTCAAAAAATTCAATGTCAGAATCAAAATAGCATATATCTGGTATCCCATAGTATCTTATTGCTATTAAAGAGCTCCCATTATTCTGTCATCATTTTCAAACAGTTAAGACTCCATCAGACATTAAAATTCAAGGAAAATTCATGCAACTGTTAGCAGTTGACATGCAATTTTACAAAGGTGCCTTTGTAATATATATCACCAGTCAACTGCTAACAGTTGCAAGACTTTTTCTTGCAGTGTTATACTGAAATAAAAATCAGAAAGAATTTTACTTACATTTAAGTCATGATTGCTAAAAGCTGGTGAGGTTTTAACCCATCTATAGTTGAGATGAACATTCTGCAACATTTGATAGGCCCAGACCTTTTCATGCCAACTTTGTAAGGCCCAATGATTGGCATAAACATGTGTATCTCCATTCCAAAATCATATCTTGCCCAATAGCCTAATTGGCTAGCACAACACGGTCATTAGAAGGGTCCATTATATATCACAGGTTACCAAAAGAGATAACCACATGATATGTTCCAATATGACTGCTGTTGGAGGAGCTTTTCTCATATGAAATTTTGTGGTAAGTCTTGTAATTCAAAATCAAAATGTTGAGAATCTTCTGAAAGTTTATGATTGCATGAAGTGGTAGAAAAGTAACCCAAATATCAATTTTATCTTATGAAGTCTTCATTGTTATCATGGTCTAAAGATCACAAATATTGACATGAGTTTGTAAAATATGCTGAAATGAAATTCAATTTGACCTCAATTGATTTTAGAATTGACCAAAATCCTTTAATCCAATCATTTATTTTGATATTCTTATAATTCAATTGCAAAAACCAGCTCAGGGGATGGGTGTGTTTTTTGTGTTTTTATTATTCAATAAGTGAATGATCACTAGATTACAGGTGACATCAGGCCCAGTCAAGACTGATACCCATCATCTACAATTTTGTGGGTGCTTACAGCCCCCTGAATAGTACCAAGGGGCCATTTTGGTCCACTGGTAGTGCAACAGGAGTTGGAACAGAGCTATGCCCATTGTTGTGCAATGTCACTGGTCAATATGTGACTTTTGTTTTTTGTGGTGATATAGTACTTGCCCCCATCTTTGGGTGCTAGGTAATTTTCTTTGCTCCAAACATTTTTTTTACTTGATGGATGGCCTTACTCAATGAAATTTTGGGTGTTTCTTGAGTTGCCCACCTTTCTGTCTCAATCTAACGGTGGCATTGACAAATGTGACTTGAAGGTTGAATGTTGTTAGATTGCATGGCACTTTGTTTGGCTCTCTGAGCAAATTATTTTGGTTATATGAAGATTATCCAACAACTGAAGCAAAACATCAGTGCTACAGGTTTGTGACATCTCATATTGATTGTAATACTATTGTCACACTTGGGATACTTACGGGGCACATTCTTAGTATCTAGAGTCTGATTGGAATAATTAAAATAGGGAAAAGTATCAATATTAGTAAGCAAGAGATGATGATAGAGTAATACAAGACTCAGAGCAATCTCTATGAGGCTTACAGCTTCTTCCGGCAGTGTAGGGCTGGGGCAACCAAGCTTGAGCTGACTCAGAGTAACTCTGAGTCATGCTAAGAGTATAATTTCTGAGAAGTGCTAGAAGAGTCAGCTAGTAGTAATTTGGTAATTAGTAAATCTTAGATGGTACTGATTTGTGTAGTAATGTCGCAATGAGGAAAAATGTAACGGGAGAGGCCAGCACCTCCTTTAGATATTAAAAGGAGACTCTGGCCAGCTTGGGGTCATCCTATTCCTTGGGGTCAAGGGATAGGATGGAAATAGTAAATCCCAATCATGAACCCCAATATTTCACAGATGCAAAATAAGGCAACATTAGTGAAATGCAAAAACAACCACATTTGATCTTAGTGTCTGTTCATTTCTTGTTACTTGGGTCAAGATTTCACACTACTGTGTTTGATTTCTTTCACATATCAAGTTGGAAGATGTGAAATTGGAGCAAAAATATTGGTCTGTCATGCCAATCAAGCAAGAAGTTACCATACCACTCTGTGTTTATTTTGTAAATACAAAGCACATTTTTGATTTCTGATTTTTTCAAAAATATGAACAGTGAAGCACTTAATCCTGTTAAGATATTGAGACCCTGCAAAAAAAGTCTACTAGTGCCTGTTGGACTTCAAGTTTGGACTTTTTTGGTCTAAAAAACATTTACAGGGGCTGTAGGCTTGAAGGGAGGACCTTGAATCCCTCTGCAGATGTTGCATTGTTTTTACACAGGACGTGGGAAATTTGAACTACAAGGCTCTAAACCAGCTCTGGGAGACCGACGGGAAGTTGTCCAGTTTCCTCCAAGTCAAAATACAGGTGGGATCATTTCATTAGCTACTTGAATGATGAAATGGAATCATTAGTTGAACCAGACCACAGTGTCTTCATCCTTTTCAATGAAGTGTGGTTTACCACAAGGATCTCCATCATCCCCCTTTTTAAACAACAGGCATCATTCCTTGATCTGAATCCACAAACCTCAAGTCCGTCTGTCTTCGGCTTGCTGCGGCCGCACCTCGTGCACTCCGGAGTCCGTAGACGAAGAACTTTGCGCTAGGCGCGGCTAGCCCTAACCCACATTCACGGCGGGAGATGTGAACCGGAGCAATGGCCTCTCAGCCCTTCAAAAAGTAGCAACCTTGAGATGGCACCCTTCACCACCTCCTGATTGGATGTCATCCCCAATGCCGGCAGGTCCGAATCAGCCAGGAAGAACCGTGCACTAGGCTTGACGCAAAAATCACCTCGACTCCTCGCACCTACCAACAAATCGTAAGCCCCACTTACCTGTCTTCTCAGCCCACCTCCTTTCTCAATCGACCTGCTTGAAGTGATGAGCAACGCACCCAACATACATCTGTTGCAATCCTTCTGAGAACCTAGTTGAATTATTTCAACGCCCAATCTGAAGTCAACACCACCGGGTGTCATTTTTATAATGCGTCTGATCCTCATCCACATCCCCCTTACTGCCAATTCAATCGCTTAATCTTCACTTCGTACCTCTAACTGACTTCTATCCACTTCTATCTCTCATCAACAGGTCCTCTGGGAGGCCATCCTTAAAATGCAGGTCTGACAGCATTTCGGCGTTGTCCCACCGGCCAGCACACCCAGCTATTGGAATGGTACTCTGACCACTCCTGTCTGACAACGTGCGCGCTCTCGTGTTGCGTTTCCCGCCGAACCACTCAATTGATTCATAAATTTGTAAGAAAGTAAAAATGTATGACTTGCTAAGTTGCTAGCAATTATGTAAAACGATCTTGTACCTTGAAATGAAGTCAGTCCCTCCGCTTTAGTGGGACAGTGCCCTCCAACAGTTTGTGTTACTCTCGGCAACACCTTGCATTTTGGTGTTGGCAGTAGGCACTGAGGTCCCGCCACCAACTTTAAAGGTTCTGTGAGCCAAAGTCTATTGCAGAGTCGAGCAACCCAATCGCATCTGAAACCCAGCTTCTATCTTGTATCTTGAGTAAAAGAAGCCCAGTTTGGATGTCAATTTCTGACCAAATGTGCAATCCATCGTCAATGTGGGTCGGACATGGCTGGTCCATGTGTACCAGCCTGGCACCAGGCCAGACATGTAACTAGTGCTAATTGACGTTTGTCCCTGATGCAAAGATTCTGAAGCCCTTCGGATTCATTTCTGAGTGACAAAATTCCGACCAAAGTTGTCCTTCCTAGCCTAGGCAGTCGAGGCTCGATGTTTTTCAGCCATCCCATCATCTGCGTTGAAGAATCACGTATAGATATCGGAGCTGGACACCATTGGTGCTCAAGCATAAAGGTACGGGCCGGTTTCCCTCTGGTCCAATAGGTATCAACTATATCTTTCAAGCCATCTCGCATCTTGCCCATTTTTTTGCACCGGCCTGGGTCTGATGCCGCCAACCCATCTATCCAACCGGCATTTCAGCCTTCTACCCTCTAGGTAAGACTGGGGACACTAGGCACCAGGCCGCCCTTCCCAAGTTCACTATAGATGGCATTCAGCCTTCTTCTGCTCTGCAAAGCGGAAGTGAAGTGAGATGCCTCAGTAGTCGTAGGGCTTCAGAACATCTATAAATAGAGCAGCTCGGTAAGGTATCGTTCGCCCTTATCCTCCATCTCCATCACCAATCATCACCAGGCCTCTACATCAGATACTTGGTCCTCCCAAATTAAAAACACCACCTTATCGCATCCATAATCTCATCTCTCCCCTCAAATATCATTGATCCCTTCCATAAAAAATACTCAGCAAAATGCGGTTCGCTTACGTTGCCGGAGCACTTGTGATTGGTGGTGAGCCTGACAAGCTGTACCCAATCTATGCATATGACCTCCCAACTAACTGAAGTTTTGTTCAACCGTCCATTTCCAATTATAGCCACCGTTTCTGAAGCGCGGGCTGTGCCTTCGAGCCCTTCGAAAAGACAGCGGGAAACGGCTGAGCGCGTCGAAGTTGTGCGCTTTGCAACACCGTCGCGTATTTCAAGAAGGACGAAACTTGCGGACTGGAATCCAACCTCAGATGATGACGCCTCGAACAAAGATAGTATCGATCCACTATCATATCGCGCTGGTATTCCTGGCACTGGACAGTTGAATCCAAGCGGTTCGACTTTAGATACAGTGGCACAAGAAAACCCCCAGCAATTATTACCATCGGCAATCAGGGCAGCTGGACCTGCACTGGGGGCGCCGACGTCTAATGGGGATATTCAGTACACAATCAGACCGGTGGTGCCTGCAAACAATCGGGCTGCCGTGCCCATTTCAGACACGCCTGAAGCTCTCCTCGAAGCTCTCCTCCCAGAAGCTGCCGAGATTCTTCAGCCATTAAACCCAACCCTTTCAAACCAACTAGAGCCTAATGTAGTGGCACCAAACGACCCGAGTCGTTCATCAACAACACCAGCCCAATTGCCCCCGACCGCATCAAGCGTCCACAGGGAAATTCCGGCCGCTTTTCGAAGCCCCTTCTTTAACCCCAACACTGTCATACCGCCCAAAGACCCCCTTGTCTTTGCGGATAAGTATATCAGTAAATTACCATTCCCACTCGACCAAGTAACAGCTGTGGGAGGTACTGAGAGAGTAGTGGAACCATCTGTTTCGCAAAGCAGTCCTTCACCACCGAACAATAACACCTCGAACAACTCAATCCCTTCCCTAGTACCATCTCAAGGAAGTTTCAATACTTTTGCTAATAACTCACAGCTGTCTAGCAATGAGCCCACAGATAACTCAATCGCATCACAATACCCACAGACTTCTGCACCAGGTTCCGGGAGAACCGTTGCACCCCCTCAAGGAAACATCTTGATTCCTAGTAACTCTTCGCTTCCGATTAACATCCCCGTGACTGCGACCAGCGACTTGAATAACACTGTGATACCACAATACGAACTTTTATCTGCGGCCGCCGACGCGAGATCAGTTGCTTCACCTGCAGGAGATGTCCTCACTCCAAGCAATAACCCCCCACTTCCTAATATCGTACTCACAAGTGCTACTACCAACTTGAATAATTCAACTTTGCCGCAATATCAGCTTTCATCTGCACCCGGTGTCGACAGAACAGTTGTACCCTCTCAAGGAAACCTCACCAGCTCTGACAACAATTCCTCGCTATCGACTATCATTCCCGTAGCTTCCACCGCCAACTTGACCAATTCGACGATACTTCAGGATCAACCATTATCCACGTCGGGTGCCACGAGAACGGCTGCACTGCCCCAAGTACTTCCCAGTACTTCGGGTAGCAATTCCTCGCTACCGAGTATCATTCCCGTCATTCCCACTCAAGGAAACCTCACCAGCTCTGACAACACTTCCTCGCTATCGACTATCATTCCCGTACCTTCCATCGCCAACTTGACCAATTCGACGATACTGCAGGATCCAGCATTGTCTACTTCGGGAGCCACGAGAACGGCTGCACTACCTCAAGCACTTCTCAGCACTCCTGGTAATAATACGATTCTTTCAAATGCTACAAGTGTCATTACTTCGGTTAATAGCACCGTTGTCAATGTTGCTGCAAGTACCTCACCGCTTAATAGCACTGTCCTTCCTGTCCAATGATCTAGCAACCTCTTTTTTGGCCTTCGTCTCTTAATCATCTTTTTCCATTTTCTATAAAACTAATTTAATTGTCTTGACACTATTATAATGATTTCATTTCTCTTTCTTTTCACTATTTCTCCCTGAAACGACCTCGTTTCTTTAATAATTTATATCCAGTTTGTTCGCTCTGCATGGCCAAACATTTAATTCTCTGTCTCTTTCTCTTCACCGTTTCTTGCTAAATCAACTCCGTTTCAATAATAATTTATGTCTGGTTTGCGCGCTCTGCACGGTCAAAAATTCATCCTCTTTCTCTTTCCCTTCACTGTTTCCTGATGAAAGGACTCTCTTCAAATAATAATTTATGTGTTCTGCATTTCTACAACTTTCATACCGAAGTTAATGAAGAGCCAGAAGAAATGTAAATTAAGGAAAGTAGTCCCACGCGACAGATAAACAAAAATTCCAAAAAATTTCCAACAATTCAATGTGAGAGCGACCTAGCACTGACAAATGGATACCCAACTGTGTACAGCCACATTGTACAAGGGTTATTTAACGATAACAACTTAACAAGGTGGCCATCTGACCAAGAAACTACGCCGATGTCAACAAAACACTTTGGGTTTGAAAGTGAGGATAAGTTAAGATGTCAACTTGGGCTTTTGACAGCTTTATGACGGAAAGAAAGAATCAAAATGAAACAATATTAAGATGATAGATGTAGCGGGAACACGGGTAGTGAGTGACCTAGTGTATAGTATTCCAATTTGTCAAATACTTAAAATAGTTTCTGCCCAGTCCCGTGAATATGACTTTTCTCACTGGATAAAATCAAATCTTAAACCTGAGCTTGTCGGAATCCAGAGGCTGATGAAAGTTATCCTCATCTTTTTTTCTTTAATGTGACCACCTTTTGAGGTCTGGATCCGATCAAGAGGAAGTCATGAATTTATTTCTGGGTGAATACATAACGCTGGCAAAGATGCCTCTCAGTCTCTGACTTTGTTTTGTCTCCTGACCGGAGATAAACCTTGTCGTATTTACAATGCAAAACAAGTTAAACTTGTTGGAGGTCCAATCATATTACTGGGAGACTCGAGACAATGGCTTCATCACGTCACGTGGGTACAAGTTTACAACCGTCCTCATTCGGCGGACGCGCAGCGCGAGCCTCCGACAGAGGTCGCAAAGACGCCCCGGACTCGGCCTGAAGAAGGTCTGCCACTCCGTTCGAGAGGGTCACGATTCACGAAGCTAGGCACAGTGTCAGCAGGGCACAGTCAGTCGCTGGGTTTGGGCCTTGGCTAGCTTGAATGGGACACGGGCCAAGGTACCTCCAACAGGTCCTTACTCAGTCCCAAGCCAGCCATGTTCCTGATGCGAGACTTGTCCGGCATTGCTCGTTCGCGAAATTACCCCTCCGTTGAAGCTGGCCGCACAGTATCCCTGCGCCCTTCACTGTACCGCGGTCTGGGCTCACAGGCACTGTTATAATTGGAAAAGGGATCCCAACTTGGGAGGCTCTGATGCCGGTGCATCTCACGAGGTTCACGTCGACTCGGTCGTGTCATCCAGCCCGAACTGGCTGTAGTTTGGCGGGATCTTACTGGCCGGGATGGCTATCAGCCGCCCTGATTCTGGTCAAAAGTCAGTCTCGTCTACCTCTGGCGGCTGACTGATTTGAATGCGGGAAGGCTGGAAAAGTCTTTCCCGGCCTGATATGGACTGGAAGTAGTGGGCGCGCAATTCAGCCATCTTTCTTTGTGTGTGCTTGCGGGACGGCCTTTGTCAAAGAGCCAGGCATGTGTGCCCTACTTAGATTGCCTCAGGAAGTCTATAAAAGCAGGTCACAATCTGCCAATCGGCCTGATCACCCATCACAAACCCCAAGCTCCCAACTCTCTACACCACTTCCTCATCCAAAACCCCCACCCGTACCTCTCCCTCTACCTTCTTCAATCTTCCTCAATAATCAAAATGCGTTTCGCTTGTGCTACCGCGGGTGTGCTTGTGCTTGGTGGTGAGTCACATCGGAGATATTTGTGTGGTGTTTTGTCTTTCACTCGAAACTAACTTGTCCTTCTCCATAGCTACCGTTTCTCAAGCGCGTTCTATTGCGCCTAGCCCATGGAGTGAACGTGACTCGACGGAGAGTGAAGCTGTACACTTTGGGCTGGTTTCCCAAAGATCAACGGCCGACAGCGATGACTGGAACTCATCGTCAACTCCCCAGAACACCTTGCCCTTGAAAAACAATGACGATCTTTCTGCACCATCTCCCAAACGCGCTGGAAGCGGGAGTGCTCAGCCAAGCAGTGCAAGCGACAGTCAAGATGATTCTGAGTCCAGCTCCCGGGTTCATGAGTATTCCCAAAAAGACTACTCGAGGGAACGGGTTACCCATCAGCCATCCAAAATTCTTGGCCTTTTTTCAGTGAGGCCAACTATCCAGCGCAACGAAGACCCCCAATCGACTGCTATGCTTTTACAAGCAATCGAAGACTATCGCGGCGCCATACTAGGAGAATCTACGGCTGGACCGGTCGAAACGCCTCCGAACCAAGCCGAACACATTTTGCAACCCCTGAACCAAGTGCAAACCAGACCCGTCCGGCAGACTATTCATGAGCTGAATTTGAATCGAAACGCACAAGAAGTTCTCAACCGGACCGCTGGCTTTAGGACCGCGCGCAAGTCCCAAAATGACACTTCCAATGGATCCGCAAATTTGACTGAAGCCACCGACAATGTCCTCGGAAACCTATCATCGCTTTCTAACAACATTCCAATCAATGTTCAAAACTCTAATGATGACAAGAACTCCAGCTCGTCGAATAAACTCTTTCCGGCAATCGCACAAGCCAACACCCGGGATTTGATCAATATTTCTTCCCTTTCCAACAACATCAATACTACCGATCCTATCAACGGGGCTGTGCCCAGTTCACTTATCAATCGAGTCACATCCACTAACGACACTGATTCCGATAGAAACACCAATCACTCTCACTACTCTGTCTCTCACAGCGGCGCGTCACGTGAAGCCAATACTACTTTCAACCATACCGTACCCATTTCTCACACGACTCCCGCCAATGACACTGCAGTGCCCTCGTCCAACAGCACTGCACCCAACTCTTGATTTGTTGTCTTCTTTCTTCGTTTTCTTTCATACACCATTTTCTTTCAGCCCTATGTCCCATCTCTGTTTGCTCACTTCTTGATCTGTTGCATTCCGGAATTTTGTTTTGTGATCAATCTATCAGAAGTTGTTCTTCCTTCTTCCGTCTTTTCATTATCTTCTCCCACCCTAATCAATGATTTAATATCTCTGTTTACTCACGACCTGCTCTGTTGACTCTGGTCTTTTGGTTTTGATAACTCTAGAAAAGACCCTTCCCTCATTCTTATTTTTTCAATTCTTACCTCATGCTCTTCTACCCTAATCAATACCTTGATTAGTATTAGTTCGTGTAATCCGAGCTTTTGCGTTGAGAGTGGGTACACCATTGTGGCATAGAAGCTCACAAGGCTGACTGAGCTTGTTAGCATTGTTAATGGAGCCATTTTGGTCTAACAGGAGATGCGAGCAGGACAGGTAGTAAGCTTCAGAGCTGCTGTAACATTGGGCAATTTCTCTGAATTCTTCCCCACTACCTCCAAGTTCAACGTCTACAATTTTGAAACCTTTGGCCATCAGTAATAATTCCAAATCAACACATGTTTTGTAACAGAGTTGATCTTGAAGGACTACTATGCTACTCAAACTATGAGCACAACTTTTGACGTACACTTGTGCAGTTATTATAGTGCTTCCTTTTGCTAGACTTTACTGACCATGGGTTAACCCATATTAAATTGACTTAGAACATACCATACAAACCATCAAACCATAACTGCTGTGAGTCCATCTGGAGAAGCAAATTAAGTCACCAGTGTAAGAAAACAACAAAAAGCTTTGAGAAGAAAACACAAACTTGGAAACAGAAGCAAAGGTTTTCTCTATTTCCATGAATTCTTGATTGAATGCTAATCATAGTCACTGAAGTAGCACAATCCTAAACAAAGACCACATTTGTAGCTATCCTACATGGCCAATATGATCCTTGCACGAGGCAGATGCAAAGGTTAAGCTTGGCTGTTTTCAGGTTGGTAATCTATGAGATGAAAGATGTAATCTTTGCAAGTTGAACGCACAGAATGGGCAATTGCCTATGTATGTAAATTGGGCCCACTAAGACATGATGGCCCCTTGACTTCTTCTGATGAAAAACCAGATCATGTTTTCGAACAGCAGCACCCCTCATTGAAGTGCATCCATTGTTCGGACGATGTAATCATTGGGTGGAAGGCTCAAGTTGATAAAAACCTGGTCATTGAAATCGCAAAAAGATAAAAATAAAACTGCTGGTACATACGCCAAGGCTTTTACATATGTTGAGCGTCGTGTTTAGGAACTAATACTACATACAGACAACATTTGATGGATTGAAAGAAGTGATGCATCTGTTTACTATATTAAAAAGCAAAAAAAAAACTTTCAGATTGCGTAAGATTTTTTGGGCTTTGACATTGTTTGTTGTGCCCTTTATGCCCATACTCATTTGATTCTACAACCTAATTGAAGAAGAATGAAATCATTTGTCGAGATGGTAGATCTGTTTCCAGAAGAAAGATAGAGTACGGGCAAAATGATCAACGTCTTTACTTCAACACAAAATTGGGAAGAATCAGAAAAAAAAACAGTTAGAAGCACAAACCTCAAACAACACATCCAAAATCGTTGAAGTCCTAGAAAAAAAAAGCAAATATCCCTTTATGAGCTCATAACTTTTGACTTCTTTCCAATTATTTCAGATGATAAGAGACACTCAACGACCAGGCTTGGCTTTCACAGCTATCACGACAAAAGGCCCCATCTTTGTTGGTCAATTCTGGCAATCCGGCCCAAGGATCCGATTGGATATATCTGCGATGCTCAGCTAAGATGGAATGGATTTGGTGAATAGTTGCTTGACGGTTCTGCAGTCAAGGTTCCAAACAAAACATAACAAAAATGTTAAATTTGTCAGAAAAAACTCCCGACTTCACTTTCAACTCACCTTAAGACCTTCCCCAACCAATGTGTCAAAGTGCAAGAAAGCCCTCAAATAATAGCCTATAGGCCAGACCCATTCCTAACCAATGATCTGATGTTGAGTAAGGCTGCAAAAAAAGGAAGACGAGTCAAAGGGTGCTTACAGGACCTTGATGATACTAGAGAACCAATCAAAAGATCAGGTCAATCGAAGTAAAACTTGGCTTGAAGCTTCTACTGAATTTTATAAGCTTACATTTCTCCCCTTGGCAACGTGCCAATCTGAAGAATCGTTTGCATTATCGTAGTCCGGTCGGTAGTCCGCTTCCCAGGGATCCAAAGTGCGCATTCCAAGAGGTCCAATCAGAGCTTCTCGAGCTGTTTTCAAAGCTATCAAAGCACGAGAAGGAGTGAATAACTTGGGTGCAACTGCCATGGCTATAGGGAAATTCGGGCGCAGTTGGTAATCGGCATGAGCTCGGTCGGAAGGTGTACCTGTTGAGAAAATGTCCGAAGGGAGTGTCAGCGATGAGGCCTGACATTTCCCCAAGCATATGTGGTTGAGGGAAATAAGAATTTAGTACTCACCAAACACATCCTTGTAGACTCCACGGCGTGTTATCAACTTTGGATCGATCGTAAAATCCTTATCCTCGTTGGAATCTGAAATCATGCCCAGACCTTTAGACTTACATATTTTCTCGAAACAGAAACGCTGTCATACCTAATGGAATCCAATAGCATTTCTCAAAGTTTTTTTGGATCTTCTGAGCCCACTCGTCGTAAGTGACCTTGACTTTTTTCCCATCGACTGAATTGTAGCATGATCAATGAGTGTAGTAACTTCCTGGAATGCACCAGCGCTAAGACGATATGACTCACTTTCAGTTTCGACAGCTTGCTTTCGCAGTTTCCCTGCCTTTGCAAGTTCTCCTGCCCATACCAGCGTGCTATAAAGCAAGCCAATTATTTCCACTGGAGCCCCATCTCTAGGTGTTCCGGGAAAGCCCTTGTTCCCAGCCTTTTCACTCTCTCCCATTTTGTCCATCCAAGTTCTATTCAAAGCAGCGAAAAAGGAAAAAAAGGAGCACATTGACTATCGGCGCAAAGTTGACGCAGGGGTTATCAGGCTACTCACCCGCAATTTTTGTCGTTTCCTCCCAATACCAACCCAGTAGCCCAGTCGACGTGAATATTTATGTTGAACCCTTTATCACTCATTTGACCATCGATAGCAGGTCCCGCGTTGTACTCGCGAAAGTCGATTCCTTTAGCATGCCTCTCAAGAATTTCTTCAACTACTTCTCCTACCGTGATGTTTTCAGAATAGGCGGTCGGAGAATCCCAGGGTACCCATTCATCGGAACTCGGGAATCGTCTTTTGACTTGAACCGACAATATCGCTTCCCCTTCCTTAGAATACTTGACGTATTCTTGTAAAAGCTGGAGCATAAACCACGGCGAATCGCGAGAATTATAACGAGGAGTTCGGACAGAGTCGAGTAGATTCGGCATCAAACCATGTTTCAAAGTGGTACAGAAGCACAACAGATGAGCACGAGCTACTTCGTATAGACCGGTCTTGATGAATAAGCCACTCGCGCTGATTGCGCAATCCCGGCCCCACGTCCTTGCCCAGCCCGAACTGAAGTGTGGCAATCCAGCCGCAACACAAGGAAGATTCTCTTTCGGGTCCAAAGACGCGGATGGCACCAAACCATACATTTGGACAGCGGTCATGGCCAACGAATGGATGAAAACCGTGCCTTGACGAATAAAGGGGGAGCATAGAGCGATCGCTCTTTCTTTACTTGCTTTGTAAGCCGTATATATCAATAAGGCGAAGTACTTGGGTCGCATGAAGGCTGGAATCTTGGCTTTAATGAGATTTATTCTCTCTTCAAGCCATTCCACTGGCCCACTGAGATTCGGCGATAGCTGGGAATTTCTATCAGAGTATAGAAGCAAGCAAAGATTAACTATCAGTTGGTGTGTGACTGCCCCCTGCATGCGGATGATCCCACAGCGGAAATACTGACTTGCGTAATCTTTCGAGAACATATTCAAACGGCCAAGGCCCATCTCTCAAATGGGCGCAAAGAGGATGGCCCAAGTCGTTGGTGCGAATGATGTACCTGAGATGATGCATCCATCCTTCTAAGCCGCAATATACGTTCCTACCAAGGCCGCGGACCTCGTATGCACCATCACGACCTCCAGTAGAGTCTCGTTCTTCCCCATCTGTCCTGTATAAGATCAGATTCAAATCGACTAGATTAAGTCCCTCGAATTTCTCTGTTGCTCCCGATCCTACAAAAGATTCCAGGTTTCGACCTTTCATCTCGCTTTGTTCCGGCTTCATTCCCTCCATCCAAGTTTTGAACAACATCAAACTACCAGGGGGGAACTGTTGAGGTACGACAATCTCGACAAAATCTCCATCAGAATCAGACCCTGGCCTTATGAAGCTTTCAGGCGAGTCCGGCGCTATTGGTGTGAGTTTTGAGTCGAGGCCTCTGAGAGTGGTTTGATCGGATGGGTCCTTGTTGGACAAGATCTCAAGAGTTGAGCCAATTATGAAAGCAGCTTTCGTCCGGCGCAGCTTCATGGGCTCCACTACAACAGCGAATATTAAGCATATTGAGCACGGCCAATTCTATCGTTATTATTAATATGCCTAAAATCAAGACTTACCAAAGCCGCGATCATTAGAATCACCATGGAAAGCCATATGGGCAACAAGCAAGTAGCCTTCATTGGTGGATGGGTGAACTCTATGCGATATAATGTACTGCACAAGAACGGTAGAGGTGAGTATTTTTCTGGGGACTGGCTCGTTTTGAGATGATACTAACGTCATTTTCCTGATGAAAATGCCCTTCCTTGAAGTCGTCTGCAGCCATTTCTGTGTGCAGGTGATTTAGCAATCGCTTCCATCGTCCAATTCCGGCTTCGACCTCGACATGATCATACAACCTTTTTTCACCAACCAAGTCTAGAAGCTTCGGGTACAAATCATCGAAACCTTTGTTCGAACCGATGGCCGAAAACGCAAATGGCACAAGCCCGCCGGTAGGCATGGCGTCTCGAGCTGTTCTTTTATCGGCCGGGGACTCGTTATCGTGAGTACAATCCATCAAGAAGGCGTGAGGTTTGGACCCATGTAACGGCACGATTTGGCATTTGACCGTAGATTTATCTCCACTCTTAGACGGGAACGAAACTTCCGACAGCTCGGTCAAGCAATCCGTATCCATGGAGCCGATCGGCTTCCCAAGTCCGTAGTTGTAAAGAAGTCGACTCTGATCTTTAGGGTCATGCCCACTTTGCACATGTCGGAAATTTGTGGTTAGCTCAACGCGTTAAACAGATGAAACCATTGGATTACTAACTTCATTGCCTCCCGAATTAGACTGTTTATGCCAAGCCGACTAACAAAGTACGTGTCCATATCTTCACTTCCGGTGAACAACTCCGCGCAAACGTACAAGTCTGGCCGAACCCTGCGGGCAACATCCAATAAGTACTCCCCCACATGAATTGGTGTGGAGTGGCAATTGTCGATTCTAAACCCGCCAAAAAAGCGAGCTAGAAGTTCGGTGTACTTCGTCATATGATCCCAAAGAAAAGGGCTGTCTTTCGGGCTCTGACCGTATCGCAATTTTACACAGTCACCCCAAACGATCACCTCCCTTCTCAGATAAGCTTTCGATTTCTCTGAGGCAAAATCTTCCAATGGATTGGCGTTCCAGATCCACCCGTTATTTGCCAAGGCTAGAGATTTGGGGTCGTGATTTTTTGTTTTCGAGTCCGTCTCCAAACGTGTAAATAAACTTTCGATCAAAGGACACCTAAGGAGTTGTCATTTCAATAAGAGCAGCATTTTTACAAGCAACATAACACAATCATCATTGAAACTTTCTCACTTTTTGGTGATCGGCCCCATTTTCGGCCCGTGCGGATCTAGTCTAGTGTAGCGAATTCGACTTCGAGTGTTTTGAATGATTGCCTTTACATCATCATCGTACTCTTGGTAGCGCTCAACGTTCAATTCATTGAGTATTCTTTTCAACGTCTCCATCGTTTCCTCAGGTGACACGCACCCATATCCCTTTTCTTGGAATAGACGAACTGTAGAATTTATGTCAATTTTCTCGGATATGTGGCCACGAGGTCCTGTTACCTGTTTCCAGCCACTTCCTTCATGCTCTGTACAGGCCTTTTCAAACTCCGACCATTCGATATGAGAGTGGCCCTCCGATTTAGGATGTTCGGAGCTTGACCAAGCTTGAGAGAATTTGGCGGCAACGTGATCCACGTCAATCACATAATACTCCCAGAGCTTGAGTTGGGCCAAGGTCTGGTGTTCGATGAAATGTATAATTCTATCGAGATCTACTTCAGATTCTAGCGCCTCGGGAAGACTTTTCTTGGCCAAGGTATCTGATAATTCTAACAGAGCTGAATCTAGTTCAAGAGCTGGCTCCAAGTGAGGCGAGTTGACGATGTTGTAGCCTGAAAATTCGGTTTAAACGGGGTTCAGTCAGTGGAAGGTATACCACACCATGTGAAGCAAGGCTCTTGGAATAAAAGTTTTCCTCACCTGATTCTGGATGATCTCGCAGCCACGGACTGTTGTTGGCCGTATGATTCAAAACAATATCGGTTAAGCTTAATATTCCCCATTCATCTCGAAGTCGTGATAACCAATCCAAAAGCTGTTTCTGTTCGTCTTCGGCGGATTTTGGGGGCTGGTCAAATAGCTCTGGATCAAATCGTAACTGATCATAAATACTATAAGGGCTACCACTTTCCCCACGGGCTTGTAGAGGTGTAAAGTGGATCATGTTGTAGCCACGATCTCTGATCACATCCATGTATTTCGGCCATCCACTCATTTTCCCCATCCACTTCGCGACGACGGTCTGAATCACCAAGCCGTCCAAAGAAATGTTGGCAGAAGAGCCTTTCTTGACCTTGCCGCCTTCTCCGACGGGTAAGATTTTTTGGTTTTCGAGTTCCCCCGATAGGATTTTGTGGCGAGCGGGAGCTGTTAAAACAGGATCGACATTGAAATATCCTGGCTTACTTTTGACTCTGTCCTCGCCCTTGGTTGAGTCGCCTTGGAACTCGACATAGAATTCGAATGCACCGGCTTGAGCTACTTTCAAATCAATCTGGATGGGTTGAGAAGTATCCTGGGGAAGCGAATGTGTATGGAACTTCTTGCGTTCGAAGGCATGTCCTTCGAGAGGAAAGTTCGTGTATAGCGTCCCAGAATTCGACGCACGTGCCCCCGCGGCAATTGAGAATCGGAGTAGATACGGCTCCACCGGCGATGGCAAACGTATATACTGTGGCAATAGGATGAGGAAGCGAGATCACCGTTAGATCGCACTCGCTTACCAATAAAACTAAAGGTTTTTCTAAAAGGAATGATAGGTACCTACCGATTTTTCTTTAGATGGTGATCCATCATCTTGTAAGCTGACTGAATGGGGATCAAGATAGGGTGTCAGATCGAATTCCAGCTGGCATCATCAATATGGCACAGTCGAAGTCAAAATCTTGCTCACGCTCAAACACTGTGATTGGGGTGCTGCTTTGCGGAGCTTTGGCCGAACGTGAGTTTGGAGGTGACGACTGGGCAGTACTTCGGCTTTCTGCTGAGGTAGGAGGGGGATGACTAGAAAGGGTGGAAGACGACTTGATCGACTGTTTTGAAGATGGCTTCTGCTTGCCAACCATTCTGATAGAGTTCTTATGGAAGATCAAACTATACTATGTGAGCTGAACGGTCCAACTAAATGTTTTATTCTAGTTCAGGATGGAAGGATAGAGGACTGCTGAGGAATTTTGTATTATTTTATGAATAGTTGAGGATTAGATTGCCTGCTGAGGAGAAATCGGAAATGGTCAACAAAGGATCGTCCGATCGATCACCGGGCAGTCGGTGCACCACCAGTGATCCAATCCGTGACGTCATTCCCCCAAAGCTTGCCCATTTCAACACCACACCCCGGGGCAGGCCCTCGGCTGAGCTGTCCACCCAACTCTTCAATTTGCACATTTCCAGCCGAGCTATCCACACACCATTGTGGATGATTGACCCGTCCAGAGGTTAAGCTGGCCTTGAGATGCGGTTGCTCTGAAAGCCGGCCAAGCATCGATGTACTTATACATATTTCGCCTCCCAGCGAGCAAGCGGGTCCCTGTTCCGTGGGGCATTGTCGGCTTTTTTCTTTCCAACCACAATGCCAACACGATTATTTGCTTACTTGACAGATAGCGCAATGGAAACTCATGGATTCAGTTGCGGGGTAGATGGCGTATAGACTAGCAATCTGGAAGCTAGAATATTTCTATACCGTGGTCTGGAAATGCTCAGGACTTGTTGGGCGAGTTACAAAATACAGCAGGAACTTGATTTGAATCATCAAGGAGACTGAGCGATGAAGTCTTCAAGCAGTTCGACGATGGGATGCGAAGGGTGATTTTACAGGGAGACATGCGGGTAAAAGTATACAAATTTGACAAGAATTATTTGGATAGGACCGGCGCAAGAAGGAGAACGATAAAATGACAAGATGGACAGAGGACACAGGTAGGCAATTTCTTTCAACATGAATGATACGATGATTCGTCTGATGATAATGCCAATGGCTTCATTTCCCTGTATCGTTGTAAATGTTGAATGGGATCCGAGACAGCCTGGGATGTTTGCAAGGGATCATCAGTTGCTTGACCATTCGCAGGTTCTGACGTGACTCTGTACATTTCAGTCAACCTTTCACGAGCTCGCTGGAGAACACTAAATACGAAACAAATTGGTGACTTGATCTCAAAAGATAATGAGTGGTTTTTTTTAGCTCACCTCTCCTTGATATCGAATGTTGATGAGCTAGCGACTCCTAGCACGAACTCCCAATTCAGTCCAAAGTCGACTTCTTTTTCATTTTTCGGATCGGTTGACTGATCTGTTTTGCTCTTATTCTTTGCTGCTTTATCTAGTTCTGAGTACGTAGATCGGCTCACATTCAGTTCAGACACCCAACCTTTATTCTAGAATATATATTTGCTTACTTCTGTAGGTTTTTCCTCGCGTATAGATCGGAATCGAAGATGTGTGGGGTGGATGGAATTCATACAGGTCATTTAATAATTGCATCAACGTTTTTTGGTTCTGATCGGCTAGACTCTGCGCCTTCTCATCCTCGAGTTCGTGATCGATTGGAGGACTATCTGTGCCTTCGTTACGTGAACGTTCTCTTTTAATGCGAGTCACAAGGGAACATAACTCTTCATTCAAAGTCCATTCTGGGATTGGACAAGCTTGAGTAGGAAGGGGCCATAATGTGAACGAAGTGGCGGTTGGATCATATGTCAGATTTTGCGATTCGTCGGTGTTTGCTGCAAGATTTTCGGGGGCGGGATTTGAGGGTTTCGGATCTTTGTTGGCGGATGATTTGGATGTCCTGGTATCTCGGAGCCCTCCTTTGCGTCCCCAATGGACCAGAGACCTGGAGAGGTTCTGGGATTGTTGATGAGCAAGTTGCATAAGCGTGTCCCATATGTCCCTCTCGAAATGGTCATCCCTCTCGTAACGCCGAATCCCTTGCGTGATACGTTTGTCGACTGCTTCTTCAAGCGCTTGGTTGTCGTTCGCTTCGGCCCCTTCCTGAGCTTCGGCAGGAGCTTGATCTTCGTCCTGGTTTTCTGCTGGTGCTTTTGCTGCACTGTCAATCGGCTGAGATTGTTTTTGGCGTGGCTCGCTGTGTGATTTGGAACGCAGTCTCTTTGAAGGCCTCGTCCCTCGAGGTTCGCCCGACGAAGAACATCGCCTCTTCATGATATTTGTTTATTTCCGGAGGCCCACGAAGTCCGCTACATTCAATTCTGGATGGTGGGCATGCAAACGACATATTGCAAAGATGTGCAACGGGTCGGTTCCGTCCCCCGGGGGGTCCCCCGGCACTTTAGTGGGAAACGGACCCCGGGTCTGCCCTCGATGAAATGGCCAGGTCAGAAAACCCCTATCAGCCCGGGCATCTCAGGACCAAATAACACACGAAGAGTCTTCAGTCGATCATGTAGAGGGATATGCAAGTGAATGGAGCTTCGGCAAGCCTCCTAGTCTCTGCACTTCGGACATTATGTTCATCTTTCCTCCAGAATGTCTACATATTGATGGATTCAAACTGAAGATCAAGTCGTGTTGCTAACCAATTCATTGAAATAAATACGGAAACAAAATGAGATGACAAAGAACTGATTTCTGAATTGAGCGAGGGCGGACCCTGTAGCTGACGAGCAGATAGTCAGCCCATTCGTAATTCCGCGGTCTAGAGAAGTCGATTCGACTCTATAACAAGTTTTTGCCGAGGAGGAGAAAAGAAACGGTTACAAATTGATGTGAAAGATGTGAAAATGATTGAGGCACCGTGCAAGAATGTAGTACAAAATGATCTGGTACATGAAATGTTCAATGATCCCAGAAGGATGCTTCAGTACCTGTAGTCTTGTCTTCCGCGAGTAAAAACTGAGTGGCCATAATATCTCTGCACACTGCTGCTTAGTGATAGAGCAGATGGCTTTCAAAACCGGAGGGCTGTCACAATCAAAAGAAAGCAGAAGTTAGGAAAGTAATGGCAAATAGTGACGGAAGCTAGATGCTCTTGCATACCATCGTGAATTCCGGCTTCGTAGGCCTCTTCTTGTCTTTCTTCCTCATGACGCTCATGTTGGTGCCATTCGTGGTTGGCGAAAGCTCCCAATGCTACATTTCCAAGCAGATTTACACATCATCAAAACTTCGATTGAGAACCAGAAAAAAAAATGCGTTTGTTTTTGACGTACCTAAGCCCCCTAAGACTCCAAGACCAGCTCCGAGCATACCTTTCTTTTTTGCATCAGCTGGCGGTGGTGCATTGCCAACCGGTTGCATAGGATTTGCCGATGGGCCTCGTTGAGGCGCAGGGGCATACCCACCACCAGGGGCATTTCCCTCTCCTGGATAACCATAATTTCCAGCAGGTGGAGCGGCGCCCGGTGGAGGGGCACCATAACCATTTGGAGGTGTCGGATAATTGTTGGGGGGAGGGCCGTAGTTAGTCGGTTGAGGGACGCCTGGAGGCGGGCCGTAATTGGTGGGAGGAGGGCCATAGTTATTTGATTGAGGGGGCCCTGAAGGCGGTCCGTAGTTGTTCGTGCCTGGACCCCAGTTGGATGGAGGGGCAGATTGGTTAGGCGGCGCGGAAAAGCCATTAGGCCCTACAAAAACAAATATCAGCTCGAGAGACATCCGCGGACCGCAGGATCTGAGTAGACCCACTCACCATTCCTTTCTGCGGGATTCTGTCCACCGAACGCAGTATTCCCACCCGGTTGAGGGGTCCCTTGAGATTGACCATAATTGTTGGGCGGGGCGCCCCAGTTTCCAGTTGAGGGAGGAGCTGCAGCTGGACCATAGCTGTTCGTTGGGGGTCCGGGGGGTCCAGAGGGAACATTCGGACCTAAGAATCCAGGAGGAAGCTAAGTACTAAGATTCACGAGTCCACAGTTTAAAATCTAAGCAGCCGCACCATCCTTGTCTGTGGCCTTTTGGTTAGTGGGAGGAGATGTAGCTGCAACAGGTGCCCCGGAAGGAGGGGGGCCAGGAGGCGGCGCGTATTGAGAAACCGGTGGTGGTGGGGCCGGAGTCGGAGGGGTCCATTGAGACTGTGGTGGCTGGACTAAGGTGTTAACATAATACCAGGCGTTATATTGAGCATTCCACTCTTTTCTCCTATGAATTTCAAGTGTTTGAATGAGGCCGAGTCAGTTGATTGATCATGAACCTTGACCGTTCGTGAGTCATATGGTTGCAAGACTAGTTAAAACGGAACTCACCAGCCATTCGGAAGTGGTGGTTCGCCACTCGCAGGCGGGGGTGCGCTGCAACCACTCACTCCGTTAGGAGGTCCGGCTTGGTAGTTTGGTTGACCTCCAGGTCCAGATTGGTATCCCTGGGTTGGGGGCGGCCCCCCAGTATTGCCAGCTGGTGGCCCGTAGTTTTGCTGGTAGTCTGGAGGAGGGGCGGATTGATAGCCTTGATTGTAAGACATGATGATTGCTAAGTTTTTTGAGGGAGATTCTTTTCTAGTCTGCTTCAATCAAGATGGCTAATAAAGTCTACCTTGAGTTGGGGAGAGAAGGGGGAGATTGAGGCTGCTCGAGGTAGAGGGGGGACCCGAGCAAGGCAACGTTGATAAGCAATGAGAGCAGGTGTCTCCTGGCGTCTCCGAGATCCGGAGTGTGGTTTTATTACCAAGAAATCCACGTCAAAAGACCTGATCATGATTCCCTAGTATTGTTGAAACAGATCCCATATGTATTTAGCAAGAAATCTTTGAGAAACATGGCCTGGGAACCTCGGCATGACGACCAAGAATTGATACGAGAGGCATTCACTCACTGCGATTCCCATTGAAACCCATTACGGAAACAAATGATGTGCAAGAAAGGCAGCATTGATATCCAGCCAGCTTAGGGCCTGCATGCCGAGCAAAATCCATCAAAGCTTTGAATACAAGTTATTCCTTATAAGTCTACACCATTGCAAGTATTGACGAACTTAAAAAGGTCACTCCGACCAGGGACTGCAAGACAAAGACAATGATTGGTTTGGAATGAGACAGATCGGGCGGGATGTTTTCTAACAGATTCCAGCATTTAACACCTTGAACAGGATACATGAATGAAAGAGGTAAAATATCATGAAAGATGCAGACATAGTGGATTGACGGTTCGGAACGGCTAACGGGTGATGCAGAAGTGCATGTGCAACTGCCAGTTAGGTGAACTTAGCACAAATCCTCACTGCGAGACGACTGGCAGGCTTGAGCCGCTTGCCCCTGTTGCATTGCGACGACCACAACCGGTCCGCATTGGCAGGGCTCTCTGAAGGAGAGCTGTTGGCCGGCCATGCTGGCTTGACAAACAACAACATTGTGCCGGGCTGAACTTAACTCCGCACGCCCAACTTCTCACAGTAAGAAAGAGATGGACAGAAGTCACTTTAAAAGACAAAGTGTATTTTTTTCCTATTAAGGCATCGGTCAACCATGGATGAGGGGGCTGCTCAAAGAAAGGCCTAAGAGAAGCCTTGTTGATGACATCAGCTATACAAGGGCAACAGTGTGCTTACCACATTGAAAGCGTTTGCAAAAGATCATAAACCAGTTGATGCCTTGAATCATTTCTGGTTATTTTACAAATTTACGCTCTGAAAACATCTATTTATGTCTTGCTTTGCTTCAGATTCCCCTCTCCAACACTAGCCTCCCACCCTATTCTTCGGCCTTCCCAGAAAAGTTATGATATGATAATAATATTCATCAACCCCGTTTTCATGATCATTTTTGCTGCTTTGAAATTGAATCATCAAGTTGGGATTTTCTTCATGAATCATACCCTGATCAGATGACCTTTCTTGAATACCCATGATCCGCGGACTCCGTGGGTCCGTCTTTTCTGATATTGAAATGAACTCGCGAAGATAGTCTTACATACATATTAGTGTCCATCGCACGTTTGTTATAAAGGCATCACATGTGTGTATGGACAGCTCTCTAACAAATATCTAGTAGGCCCGAGTGTGAGCGCTTGATCGGCGTGAGTAGTCAAAAATCCATGCTATGTACATCGTCATCGAAAAGCAGTGAAGGATTGTCGGTCATGTTTGTGTTTTGGGGTCAGATGACTGGTTGGAGCAGGGTGCCGGAGAGGAATCTAACTTAACACAAGTCCCTCGATCGGAGGGCCTGGTGACCTGGGCTGTCTCCGTTCGAGAGGCTTTAGGCTACATAGTGTTGTAGCAACAGTACGTAATTGACAGATTACGCACTCAGCTACATTGGTGACAAGCGTCACGACCAAGGAAAGTCATGACACAAGACTTTCCTTGGACGAAGACTTTCCTTCACTTGTCATAGCTTGTCATCATTCCTCGACGTCGACATATATGTTGTATTTACATAACAGATGTATATAAATACAACCTTATTCCTCCGCTTGTTTTCCATTCATTCCTCTTGATTGCATTCCAATACATTCATACTTTTCCCTCTCCTGTGTCAGTGCCTCAATAGGTTATGAGCATATATCTCGCATAAATTAGTGTTACATAGTTTTTTTAGTTTTAGTGTTACAAAGTTTCGTCTATCGGTTTTTCTCTCTCATTGTCTCTGGGTGTCATAATCGGGTGTTTTTCTTTATCTCTCTACGGGTGTTCCAGTATCTTCCTCTCGGGTGTTTTTCCTGTGTTTCACTGTATCAAGATTTTTTCGTTGCTCCTTTTCCGGTTTCCCTTACTCTTACTCCCTTACTACACTACCATGGCCCCAATCATTTCTCGCTCCCCTGTCGGTACCAGATCAACAACCAGCAATGTCACCGCCAGACCCGCGACCAACAAAGCCGCCGGCAAACGTGTGGCAAGGAGCCCCTCTCCGTCTGACGATGAAGAAACCGGACCCTCTGGTGGACAGCGTGGTGGTTCCGGTGATGGTGCTCCCCAGGGTGGCACCCCTCCATCCCTTCGGGACCCTGCCCCGCATTTCTTTCGTGATGTTCCCCATCCTCCCCATCCCGCTGATGACCCTCGCACCCGGGCCATGATCATTAATGCTGCTTCTAACCAATTCCGTGATGAATACAAGTTGCGCGAAGACGGGGCGAATTTCCGCGACTGGCTCCGCGAAATCAAGGAACTCGCTATGCTTTGCTTCAACCGCGAGGATTGGTACGATGCTGACAGATCCCATGATCGTTTTGACATCCTTGCGAAGTCGGCTCTGCTCATCTCTGTCAGCCGACCCATCAAGGCGGATCTCTACGACATTGGTTCCAGCTTTGCGATCATGCAACAGTTGCGCCGACGCTTCACCACTTTCAGTAGGGCCGCCCAATTGAACAAATGGTTGGACATGTTCCGAGTACCCTGCGACAAATCCAGCGAACCGTCTTCCATTGCGACTATGTACCGCCATCGCCTGGCCGATCTCCGAGACTCCGGAGTGACCATCAATGCCGACTCCATCCTCTCAATCATCCTTCACTGCTCCATCGCGCACGGTACCGAGTTGCGCGCAGAATTCGATGCTGCCATTGACCGGGAGTTGTCTTTTGAGCGCGAGACCCCTCTCTCCTTCAACGACCACATCGACATCCTTACGGCATGCCGGGAGAAGGTCCGGGCCCGCGAGTCCGACCGACACCGTGATCCTTTGCCCTCCGGTTTTTCCTCCGGGATCACTCCCCAACCCCTAGCACGCAGCGACTCCGTCGAGAGTCATCCCGACAATGTCTATGTCCTCGCCGGACGCCCCGCCAACTTCAAGTCTCCCGCCCCGGGCACCCCCCGCACTTGCTTCCGCTGCGGTGCCACCGGTCACTTGATCTCCAACTGTACGGCCCCGCCCACCTTGCCCCCGGCTGCTCCTCGCCATGATTTTAGGGGTATGCCACCCCCTCCGCCCGGACTGGCTGCTCCCGGGTATCAAGCGTATTACCCTATTTTAGCTCCCCCTTTCCCACCTTACCCCCCTTATTTGCCCCCTCCTCCCCCTCCTCCTGCCCCTCTTCGCCCTGCTGATTCTTATCGCCCTGTGTACAACACCCCCGGAGCGACCGGCAACAGACCCTCCGCCAAAGAGGCTGAGGTGCCCTCCGAGGAAGCGCCCCCCTCTGGCAACTCCTTTAACGCCTCCGGAGGGTTCCAACGACCATCCTTCCTTCTCTAATCTCACTTTCACTACTGCTACTGAACAACCTGATACCCTTTTTGATACTGGAGCCACTCACCACTTGACTGGCGATAGGTTAGCATTGACTGAGTTTACTGAGCTGCCTGACCCCATCCCCTTACGTGTCGCCACTAATGGCCCTCCGCGCTTTGTTACAGCCAAGGGAACTTTGACTTTTCCTGGTCCCAACTCAACTCGTATTCTTCTTAGGGGGGTACTGTTTTGCCCTCACGCAGCACACACCCTGATTTCCCCGGTTGCCCTTCGACTCGCGGGTTTTGGCATCTCTTTCGATGAGACAACGGACTCCTTTTTGATTTCTTCTCATGACCAAATTTGGGCTTCTTGTACTCTTAACATCAAGACTCGCAAGTGGCTTCTTCCGCCTCCTTTACGCTCTTTTAATCCTGTCTCTCATTTGCCTACTGTTGTCGCTCCTTTGAATACTGTTGTTTCTTCTTCTCGTACCCGTGATAATCCTACTGTCGTTACTGCCCCCCCTTTGCCCCCTGCGCCCGTGCCTCTCACCGCCGCTCATTCGGATTTGGCAGTCCCTGATGAAAAGTCACCTGATCCTTTTCAGATTAAGGTCCCGGTGGCCACTGACCGGCCTTTCCTTCAGACGTCCTTAAGCAAAGATCAGGAGCTTCTTCTCCATGTGCACCGTCGTTTCGGCCACATCAGCCTGCGTGTCATCCGGCGAATGATGAACATCGGGGTAGCTCTAGGCTTGCCCAAATCTCTTCCTTCGGGGGACATTCAATGTGCAGCTTGTCTAATTTCTAAGAGCGTCAACAAAAACACGCTCTCCTCTGACAGTCGGTCCTTCCTACCCATGGACGCCTGGAACGTCGACCTGGTCGGCCCGTTTGAAGAACCCGCTCTGAGCGGCGGACTATACATCCTCACCTTGAGGGACATCGGTTCCGGCTACTGCGAAATCAAAGTTCTGGCGAAGAAATCGGACGCGACCAGTGTTATCATCGATTCAGTCCTCAGACTTAGCACTCTCACCGGCCGTCGACTGAAGATCCTCCGATCGGATAACGGAGGAGAATTTAACAACAAGGCATTGTCCGCCTTCCTCGCTTCCCAGGGTATCTCTACGGAGCGCTCTATCGCCTACCATCATTATCAGAACGGTACAATTGAACGTTACAACCGCACGCTGCAGGACATGGGTCGTACGATTCTTTTGGATAGCACGCTGCCCAAACCATTCTGGGGTCTAGCTTTCGTCTGGGCATGCTACACTTTGAACCGGATCCCGAATGCTGCTAGCGGGGAAGCTACTCCGTTCGAGCGTTTCTTTGGGCAGAAGCCTAATCTTGACCGACTTCGGCCTTTTGGCGCGGTGGCCTTTGTGCACATTCCTGTGGAGAAACGCCGAAAGCTGGATGATAGAGTCGTACGGGGTTTTGTGTCTCTTATCTCCCTGATTCTAAGGGTTGGGGATTCTGGGTTTC